TTGGTGGTAGAGCTCTGACTCTGAGGCTCATAGCTCAAAATCTGAAAGGTTGAAGGCTTTGAAAGTTACATTGGCTGAAAGAGGACATATTCATCTTTGATATTTTCTACCCTCAAAGGTGTGGGAATGAGCTCAGATTTCCCTGCTGGTGGTCCTTCTGGTTCCTGTTCTGATCCAAAACCTGATCCAGTAAAACTCTGCTGAAGTCTCACAGCAAAAGCAGCAGCAGCTCCCCAACAACACGATTCTACCGACAGCAGCTCTTTACCTTCAGGTTTCTCCTTCCTCCTCACAGCAGACTGACCCTGGTGAGAAGGATGAAATGTTTTATGATCCAGACAAAAAACAGTAACTGATAGAGCTACAGGGACGCTGCTCTGTGGTTTATGACACAGTGAAAGAGGAACCACCTCACAGGAACAGATGAGTGTGACTGTCATGTCATACTTCTGCATAAAGTGGGTTTGTCAGGTTAAAGTTTGAATTTATAGTAAAGTTTTCTAAGTCTAAGTCTAATATGCGGGACTCAGACCTCTTCTGCTTGCAGCACCAGGTTTTTCCTCTCAGTCAGTAGGACTACAACACAGATGATCCTGTTTATTGCAGCTCCTCTGTCTCCACTCGGTCAGTAAACAAGTGTTGGAGACTTTGAAGAAAGTCAAGAACAAACCGACAGTTTTTAGTCTGTATTTTACCAAAATACACATTTCCCTGTTTCTCAGAGGACAGAAATCCTCCAGCTGCATTTGGGCCTCAGACTGAAACACAGAACCAGCACAAAGCAGTAAAAACCTCCGCCAGCAGATCTGAAGTAATCAAAGACAAATTAGACTTTTGGCAAACATTGTAAGCATGCATAAGGAGTGACAGTTGGATAAAATAGCCTCCTGTGCAGTTTCTGTCCTGGTTCCTCTTCTGTCGAGCTGACAGACTCTTTTCCATCCTTAAGAAGTTTTCTTCACTTCCCCAGATTATTAACATTTACTTTTGTGATTATTTCTGCTTCCTGTTTATGGGCCTGAACCTTCAACATGGTCTATGTTGAAAATACATTTTTGACTCTTTATTGTCTCTGATTTTTTCTCCTCAAACCAGCTGCTTTCAGACACTTTCAGGATCAAATTCATGCAAAGCTTTGAGGAGAGTTAAGAACAAAACAAAACACTCTGACTGTGTATGATTACATCAGTGAACACACACACACCCTCCTGTTGTGATGATGCTGTTTTTGGATCACAGCCAAACCTCATTCTGTACTGAACTGACTGTGTTTTCTCCCCACATTCCACACAGGAAGTCATTCACTGATCGGGACCTTTGCAAAAGCTTTTAAGTAAACCTGTTTGTTCCTCTGAACAGCAGCCATGAGCAGCTCTGAAGGATTCAAAGCAGAACCAGCTGTTTTTTTCTCCAGCTGCTGTTTGGCTGCAGAAACATCTGGATGTGAGTCTGGAAACAGTTTTTGACCCCCAGATGTTCTGTTTAACACGTTAGAGATCAGGATGGTAACTCTCACACATCTCCATGAACAGACACTTTAAACAAAGATTAAAACAGGAGAATAACCTGGTTCTGTTCCTGTTGTTCAGTTAATTAGTTTAATAATCTCTTCAATGGGTTTTCAGCTGCTATAATCACATGATTTGTCCTGTTGGAACAGAGTAAACCTCATCTGATGTTCTCACATAAAGACTGTTTCATGTTCCCCTGCTGCTGGATACAGAGTCCTGGTGGAGTCCTACAGCTGCATTTGGGCCTCAGACTGAAACAGAACCAGCACAGGGGCAGTAAGACATTCTGAGTCTATCAGTGTGATGTTTCACTGGAAGTAAACATCTGATCTGGACTCTCGGCAAACAATTGAAGCATGCATAACAAGGAGGCAGTTGAAAAGAATCACTGTCACATCGGTTTCCGCCCTGGATCATCTCCTGTCAAACAGGTTCTCGCCCCTCCTTGAGAAAACAGTGTCTTTACCTCCCCAGATTATTTCCATCTCTTTGTGTGGTTATTTCCGCTTCCTGTTTGTGGGCCTGAACCTTCAACATGTTTCAATGTCTATGTTGAAAATACATTTTTGACTCTTTATTGTCTCTGATTTTT